AATCATGTCATATGGGGATCTAAAGAAGGATCTGGTAGTATTTGGATGGACACAAGAAGATGGAGTAGGTTAGTTCTGAGGGTTACCCCAGCTATGGGTGGAAGTAACAGGGACAGAGGGCTCAATTTGTCTTTTTTTCTTTTCTTTTCTTTTCTTTTTTTTTTTTCAAGAAATGGACATCCAGGGAAACAGCTTTACGGAGTATGAACTTCTGGGCTCCAAAGATTTTAAAAACAAGCCACAGATTATTCTGGAAGTTTGTGTGTTAAGAGAAAGAATTAGACAGGGCAACTACAAAGGTATGGAGGCAGTATCGAGGCTTCGTTGGCCCTTTGAAATTTAATTCAAGCACGAGTACTGAAAGTGAAACCTGTTTTCTTCTAAAAGGGTCTTTGTTTCTATAGGTGCCAGGTTGACACCTCCAATGCTCACTCCTAGCCTACTGCAATTCTACCTCCATTGCTCCATTGCAAACACAGCAGAGGAACCAGCTTATACCTCTCCTGGTTGGACTGGAACCACACCTACATAGCCAGCACCACCCACTGGCTTTGTGGAACAGCATGAAATCTGTTTGTTGTCCCTGCTGAGGAAAAGAGGGAGGGATGTCTGGTAGAGGATAGCCTCATTGCCTGAAAATAACTTGTCTTGAGAAAATCTTATTTTCTAAGTAAAGAACTAGAGATTTTCATACTAAATAGGGAAAAGAAGGGGGGACAAAAAAACCCCAGTAAGTTAAGCATCGTTTTGAAAACTGGAACTAAATATTCACTCATTAATTTCATTCCACAAACTTAGTTAACTTGGTAGATACAAATTTTAACCCTGAGGTTATGATGGTGAATAAGACCCAAGGACCTTTGTTCTGATTGTTCATAAACAATCATATGCTGAATGGATTGGCATTCAGTACAGAGTTGATGGAGCAAATAAAGTGGAGAAGAGTGACAGGTGATTCCAGGCTTGGGAGAGTTTCAGGAAGATGTCCTTAGCTCACAGTTGAACATCCCAGCTAAAGAATGGCATTCCCACAGGCCATAGGGTAGGGATAATGTTCACCTGTTATCACTACAAGGGGGACCTATGTGGTTAGATAGTTCAGTCACCGCTCCCCCCACCCCCAGCAGAACAGATATAACCTGATGAAAGTATAACAAGATTCTTAGCTTTCATTCCAGATTTAATTGAAAGAGCAACTTAATTCTTAGAAACATGAGAGATTATATCCTTTCCAGGAGAGGGATTATAAATCATCTTTTCTCAAGATTACTTATTTATTTGTATGTATGTGTATATGAGTGTATGTTGGCCTGGTGCATGCATACCATGGCATGTTCATGGACATCAAGACAGCCTGTAGGAGATGGTTCTTTCCTTGACCAAATCCAGGTCCTCAAGTTCAGTGCAAGAGTCTTAATTTGCTAAACCATCTTGCTGAACCCCTGAAAATATTTAATAGTGCAAATGAAGAATCTTTGTCTCACATTCAACACCCACTGTATTATAATTATAAAAACACAACATTTACACAATTAACTAAGGGTTTCGTAAATCTTTCCAGGTATCTGTCTTTACTTGTTTTTATTTGATGCCATCCTTACTCTTTGGTTCCTGGTACCACATTTCCACCTGATACTGGTTTTTCAATGTTATTTAAAATGCTTCCCATGGCTTCATGATATCCAGAATCCTCTGTAAGATTTGATACTCCAGTTTCCCAAGTATCTGCACTGAATGTACACTTTAAGTTAGGTGGAACAGAGAGAGACTGTTAGACAAAAGTGGATGGGTATACAAACACATTAATTTTAGAGAGATGTGTTTGACTAGAGGTGTCTCTTGAGTCTTCACTAGATGAGGACAATAACCACTCAGAGAGTGGGGCTCCCTTCTGCCAAAGATTATAGAATAGAAATGTGAGGGAGAGGATCTAATATTTTTAATGGAAAATTATCTTCTGGGCAGGCAAGAGTCCTCTTTTCACACACCAGGAGACCTGGTTACTCCCTGGAGGACTGACAGGAAGCACCAAGCCACTGTGTCCAGGCCAATAGAGCAGGCCTCTGTTGTCTTCCGGGCATTGTAAAGATTCTGGCCCCATGCCCCGGCATCCCCCAGAAAGTGATTTCTCAGAATTGTCTGGTCCTCCAGGGATGTGCAAACATTTTAAATTGAGTTACAAAGGGAACACAACCATTGTCTATGAAGCCCATTCCAACTAGATCAACCTATTCATGTCTAGTAAAATATAAAATTCTATGATGTTTTCAAAGGTGTTGAGAAGCTGTGGAGCAGCATGGAAGCCTGGAAGTAGAAAGACAGCATTGTCTATAAAGCTATTATCCACTCACAGTCACTTGGTTTCTCTTCCAAATTTCATGTCAAATGTTGCTCATTTTTGTAATAATGAGAAGAGGGATAAAACTAGCATTTATTAACTGTTTAAAAAGTTTTAATCTCTTGGTTCCAAGACTGTCACTTAATCTTTGGAAGAATCCTTGAGACAAGTTATATCTCTATCTAAGAATGAGGAAAGTGAGTCATTGTGATTTTCTTTTTAATTATGCTACTTATAAGTGGTTGGTCTTGAACTCCTAGATTTCTTTCTTGTGCACTGCGTGATTGCTCTGTTTTGACAGAGGTAAGTTGGTATATTGGAATGGAAATTCCATGATTAAGAAGACAGTTGGAATGCAGCTGGAGAGATGGCTCAGCAGTTAAGAGTACTGACTGCTCTTCCAGAGGACCTGGGTTCAATTCCCTGCATCTTCATGGCAGCTCACAACTGTCTGTAACTCCAATATGTGAAACCATCATACAGACATACATGCAGGCAAAACACCAATGCACATTAAAAAATAAATAAATAAAAGAAAGAAGAAAAGAAAAAAAAACCCCAAACTATTGGTATTAAGTATGAAATTCAGATGTTCACCTTTGGAAAAGATAGAACTGAAACCTTTAGCATGAAGTTGAGCTAATCATGTTCAAATCTAGCCTCTTTGTTTCCCCTTACTCTATTTATTAAACTGTACACTGTACATTTTATCCGTGTGTGTGTGTGTGTGTGTGTGTATACTTATAGCAAAGGCTTCAGGTTAACAGGAACTGCACCTGACACAGTGTTTAAGTATGTGAATTGTTTGTCCATCATTCATTAGTTCATCAAACAAAGCCAGGTAATGTTTTCTCAGAACCCCTTGGTAGGCTTGAAGTTAGCTGGTATTTTTAACTTAAGTATTACAATGACCTTAAGTGAGAAACACATCCACTGAGTACATTTGTCATTCCCTTTCATTTTCAACCTGTCCACATCCTTTTGCCTACCTAAGTCCTGTTTTGAAGTTGAAGAGGTGAAATAGTTTTCCTTGCTCTTTGAATTTATCACATCCCTCCTTTCAAAACTGTGTTCTGAGCATGTCACATAAAGCCACAGGGAAGTCTGAGCCCTCTTGCTACCTTGGGAGACATTCAAGCTTCCTCACAGATCTGAGCAATAATTTCCCCCCTATCCCTTTGAACTTTCCCTGAACTGTTGTTCAGATGAGCCAAGGGCCTCCCAACGAGCCTTTTGTGATATCCATCAGTATTGTGTATTCCAAGGTGAACAGGACATCTCATTTAAAAAGGTACTTGAAAACCACTTACAAAAAAAAATATCAGATATAGGACGAGAGCAACGTAAGAATTGGATGAGTGGTAAAAATGCTGAAGTGGTTACTTGCACAGCGCTAAATGGCAGGCTTTTATTCTAGAGTATTCTTAACTTTCGGCCATAATATACCGAACCAACCCGTTTGTCTTTCTTCTGTATGAACGGTCCTTACAAGCCACGCTGGGTCTTTTTCTGCTCATGGCTTGTTGAGAACTCGTCTCTTATCGAATATCTGGATTTATGGAGCACATTTATCATTTCCTTTTACTTCCAATGGGTCCTCAGCACTTGGACGTTAACTCCTGTCTCTCAGTTGAAAGCTTCTTTCCTTCCCATCCCAGGTGGATCACTGGCGATGTTTACACAATGAACATCTGGTCCTTCCCCGCTCTGGACTACTCAGAATTGGCACCAGAGTCCGAGTGCAGGAGGAGCCTTTGAGAAACCAACAGCTTCAGACCCATTCATGGGGAGATAGTCCGCGATTAGACTTCACGTTCCCCCAACCCCCGTGACGTGTCTGCCATCTAGAACCTACTTCCACGGGACAGTACGATTAAGAACAGATGGGTAGTATAGTTTACACGCGAGGAATTAACACTTCATGAAATCTTACTTCAAAATTCCGGAGACCTGTCTTTCAGAGAGGTCGGTTTATTTCAAGTCAAGGACAACATGGCAGGAGACGCGAACAACGCGAAGAGGGCAGGACAAACATCCCCAGGCAAGAATAAGGCGGGGTGGGGGTGGGGCTCATAGGCCCTCCCTTCCCCTAACAGAGCAGCCTCTATCCGAGGGAACCGCATTTGTGAGTTCATCTCTCCATCGTTTGTGAAGGTGCTGGGCTGCTGGGGGTCTAGGGGTCCACCTCCCCGCACCAGCTAGGGCCTGGAAAGCATTCTATACTCGATCACTCACAGCTTCTGTGGTCCTGAGCTGGGCGCTTCCTCCAGCAGAATGAAATAACAAGAGCTCAGAACGACCTGTAGGGGATACAGCCGGCCCTTGGGAGCCTCTTTTGTTCTAGGCAATAAAAGCCAACACACTGTGAAAATAAGACAAAACTCTCCCTCTCCCCTTTCTCGATCCCTCCTTGCTTTCAGAAAAAAGCGATGGATGCATCTTTGCACCCCACCCATCCCCGGGGCGCGGGGGTGGGGGAGGTATCAAGCCATGGGAGGCGGGCATTGCATCCACTCGGGGGACATCTGTATTGCCAGCCCAGGTTGAGGTGGCAGGCTTGAGCGGCTTGGATTCCCTGTCGCTCCTAGCGGGCTACCAGGGTTGCGCGGAGCCTCCCCAGCGTCCTGCGGCTGCAACCCCGGGTCGCACGCCGCGGCGCCCCGCCCCATCGTCCCTGCAGCCTCGCGGGCTGCTGGGCTTTGTGGTTCGCCCGTGCCGCTGGGCCCCTGCTGGGGGTGTCGTCAGGAGCATGTGCAGACAGCAGCCCAAGGTAGAGCGAGCGTGCGGGGCAAGCCCTAAGACTTGCCTGGCAATGCCATGTTTGTGTGCATGCTCTAACTCGGGGAGAGCAATTAGGGAGACGGCTCCCCGGCCGGACTTGGCTCATGTTTTCTTGTTTCTGTTTCAGCCTTCAGGATAATTCCTTCGGCAGCGCTGCTGTAACTGAGTAAGTGATTCTTGCCATTACAATCGACTTGCGTGCCTGTCTCCGAAACAACTATGGTGAAGGTACCCCGGTCCCCAGCCCCTCTTCCCAAGCGATGCATTGTCTCCTAGAACCTGGGGCTGCGAGGCTGGCGGGGGCCCCACAAACCTCACACAGGTTGCAGCCAGTATTTTAGCAGCTGCGGGGCGGGGGTGGGGGGGGGGGGACGGGGACGGGGACGGGAAGGGGAGTAGCATTAAACCTAGCTGATTACTGCGGGAAGCCCCATGCTCCAAAATATGCTATCTTGGAGCTTAGCTTAAAAAAAAAAAGGTACATGTCAGAAAGGAAGCTTGGTTGTATTTTGCCAACATGAATGTCAGTTTTCATGGCGTGCTTGCTGGGTACATTTGCCCCAAATAGACGGATGTGAGAGAACTGGAGTTTAATTCCAGCATATTTACAGCGAGTAAACTTATCACCCCTCTCTCTGTGTACAGATTTTTAAGACCCAGTGCAATCAACTTTTCTAGATGCCTTCTGTCATTTTTTTTTTCTCGTCTGACCTCAATATTGTGATTAGAGAGAAACGTCTTACTAACAACAGTTCAAAGCGTGGGGGGGGGGTGATGGTGTTTTTTACTCAAGGGCAGTTCATGTTGATGTGTGTGTGTGTGTGTGTGTGTATGTGTGTTGATACTTAGAGTGCTTCGTTTATATTCTGGTCATCTCTCCCTTAATATATTCTTGATAATATAATCTATGCATCAGAAACGAATGTGGCATACATTCTGCGGGCACTACCTGTGATTTACATGTAGCTGGGTGTATACACTGTACGTATCCCATCTAGCCATCTTAGCATAGAGGAATTCAAGTTTACTTCTGGGGTCTTCTCATGAGAGCCACTCTGGAAAAGCTTTGCAGGAGGGTGTGTGCAAAGTTGTATATTTTGCTACTTAAGAAAGCCTGAATTTCCTACAGAGGCCACAAGTGACTTGGGGGCTCTTTGCTCCCAATGAGTAGACGTGTTGGCATCCTTTGGGTTTTAGACCCTACCATTGTGGCAGAGTCTTGGAGAGGGAGGGTTGAGGTTCCACTGTGCTTCCTGGAGTCCCTTTTCCCATGCTCCTTTGCTTGTCTCTTTGCTTTGCTACTGTCTTAGTGTCTCCCTTTGAGCTCACCCTAAGTGGGGCCTCTTTAAACGTAAGACCAGGTTGGCTTTCAAAGACGCACTATGCCTACTAGGGACCCTCATCATGGCAGTGATGTTGCCCTGCCTCTTTGTTTTTCTGGAAAAAGCTGACAGAAGAGGAGAGCTAGATCTGTGGACCAAAGAAGAGGCCTGGATCTTCTGGTTAGGTGGTCATGTACTACCTCTCTTTTCCCCTGCTGGGCTCCCCACCACCACACATTTTCTGGGCCTGATTCTTGGGAGCCCTGTGTGGCTGAATTCCTAGAGTCAGCCTCAGTTACAGGCCCAGACGCTTCAAGATGGAGACTTTTACTTCCACATTTCCTATTGAGTGTGTGTTTGTGTTATGGTTAAATGATGGGGAGACTGTCGTGTCTCATCCTTGGATACTCCCCAAGGAGTTCTGATTGCATAAGATCACGTTGTTACTTTCAGAGATGTGACAGCGGTTCCTTTTAAAAGGCTGTGAGTGGTGACTGGGAAGCCATCTGGCTAATGCAAGAATCTGAGGAACTTACAACATACCCTGAACATCACAGGTGTGACACAGCTCAGATGAGAGGCATCTTAAACCTGTGGTTGTCGTACAGAACACTCTTTTATTTTTTTCTTCTCCTCTCAATAATAGGACCTGTTCCTGGATCTGTGGGCACAGTTCCTTTACCCAGCAGGACCAGAGGGTGCTGTCCTCTGACACAGACATAGCAGGTGTCCCGGAGTGTTTGGGTGAGATGTTAGTCCTGCTGAAGGAGCCCTTTCCTCTTTGCTGAGATAAGCAAGGTCCTCCCGTCCCCCCCACCCACCTCCATCACCTCCTCTCACACCACTGAAATTCCACCTGGAGAGGCTTTCTTTCGGGTGAAGGCCTCTGGTATTGATTCTTATTAAAATGGAAGTTTAAAACTCTGTGCCTTGGAAGGTGCATCCAAGCAGTCATTACTGTTTCCTATGGATTATTTTTATCAGATAGTCCAACCTGAAAGGTTGCTGCTTGGCTCGTTGTGATTGTGTGTGTATATGTGTTTGTGTGTGTGTACATGAGGGTGCCTTTGGAGGTCAGAGGTTAACATCTTGTGTCTCCTTTTATCTCACTCAACCCTCTCTCTCACTGAACGTGGAGTTCATGGATGAGTAAGATTGGTGACTAATGAGCTCTGGGGATCCTTCAGCCCAATCCTAGAGTTTTATGCTTCCCTCCACTTTGGTGGACTTTGAAGTTGCTGAGGATTCAGACTCAGGTCGTCATATCTGAGCCTGAGACAATTTCCCTGTTTCCCCAGTTGGAGGAGGTCTTGACAGAGTCGGAGGAAAGTGAAACTGGGTCTCAAAGGCAGAATCCTCTTCTTGGTTTTCCTCAGGCCTTGAAATGCCTGTGCAGATCTGGGAGAATTTAACTCAGTTTTCTATGCATTTTTCTTTTTCTCCTTCCAACATCAGCGTGACCTTAGCCTGTCCGAGACATTTGCAGTGCCTTTTCAAGATGTGTTGTTTTTAAAGTCTCTTGCTGGGTCACTGTATTTAGACCAGTGCTTGACTTGTAAAAGTTCTGCCTCCTAGCCTCTAAGCATTGGTTTACAAAATGAGCCAAACACCATTACCTGGAAAAGGGATTGGATCTTGTGAAAAATATAGACTTCCAGGCTAAGAGATAACCTGGGACGGGGTATTTGGATTGGAGTCACATCAGAGCTGGCTTGGGTTCCAAAAACCATTAGATGAAAATGTTCTAGAAGCCTACTAGTTAAAAGGCTGGGCAATGCTGTTTAAAAAGTTTACGTTACAAGAAGTTGGAGAGACAGCTCAGTAGCTAAGAGCACCAGCTGTTCTTCCAGAGGGTCCAGGTTTAATTCCCAGCACCCACATTGCAGCTCACAATTGACTATAACTCCTGTTCCAGGAGATCTGATACCTTAGTGCATACATACATGCAGGCAAACACCAATACTCAAAAACTAAAAATAAATAAGTAAAAGTTAGTATTTATTACAAGGACGGGGATGCGTTTTAGCACCCATGAAGCCCTAGGTTTGATGCCAAGCATGATATAAATCTGTATGCTGCTGGTGGTGAATACCTGTAATCTTCAGCACATTATGGTAGAGGTAGGAGGGCCAGAAGTTTAAGGTCATCCTTGGCTACACAGCAAAGTTTGAGGACAGGGTGATTACAAGAGACATTTAAAAAAACAAAACCCAACAAACAACTTCCCCATTGCAGAGGTTTACATTCTACCCTCAGAGCTGTGTGGGGCTGAGGCGGGGCCAGGCAGGAGTCTGCTCATCCTGATCAGGTAATCCAGAGAGCACTGATGCAGGTGATTCTGGGAAATTCCGCAAGAGGTTGCATCTCTGCCACTTTGCCATCAGAGGTGTGTTGCTGCAGGGGAAGAGAAGCCATTTCTTCTAGTCAGTCAAGCTGGGGTCTTTCTTCCAATTTAACTGGAGAAGATGACTTCTCCTGGATATGGCTTTAGCTCCCATTATTCCAAGAAGCCTGGTTCTCCTGTCTCCCGAGTGTCTGGGAATATAGACTGGCAATGTCATGTGACTACTGTCTGTGGGCTTGGCTGTGTGGAGCAGGAACAAGTGAAGTTCCCTGGAGTAAAGCCTTGGAATCTTGGGCAATGAGTTGGCCTCCCTGGGACTGTATTCCTTCCTAGCTATCAGGCTGGACAGAGAAGGTTGGGATGGTCATGTGGGCTGTGAACCCCACACACTCCTTCCTTTTGTTTGTGCTTGGCAGATGGAGCGAAAGTAAAAGAGGGAGAAAAGGCCCAAGTTAGAGCTGTTGCAGAGATGTCTGGACAATCTCAAGGGAAGGGCTGTGACTTAGCCTGCTGAGAAGGGATACCAAGGAATCATTTGCTGGAAGTGTCTTTAACATTTTTTTTTTTTTTTCCTTTTCACCATGGCCAACCATGAGAAAAACATTCTCCATCACAGTTCAGTCACACACTGACATGTGATTTCGGTGGCTTCTAGGAAGCAGCCATTAACCCTGCCTATGCTGACACCATCCCGGCACACCGGCCACAGAATGTTAGTGACTAGCCATTTTGTGGAGACCCCACTGTCACAGTTCCCAGTCTGAAGAGCATTGTGGGGCATGCTCCGTTACTGTAAGGCTTTTAAAAGTTGCTTTCATTGAGTTCATAATTTTGCTTACAAATATTTACACAACATACCAGGCTCCCAAACAGCTCTTTCTGAAGACATCACCATGTTGAGCTATTTCTTTGCATGAGTTTGTTTTCAAATTAGCATCTAAAGTAGCAGATTTGCTCGTAGCATTCGCATACACCCTTAGTTTTAGTCCATTGTCCTCCTCCATCCCTCACCTCATCTCTCCGCCCCTCACCTTTCCTTGTCCATATTGCATATGTTCTATTCTTTTCCCTCTCATGGACCTTTTCTAGTTTCCGACCTCCACCCTACTCGCTCCTCCACAAATGCACATACATAAACATTGGAAGTCAAGACTCACGTATGTCATGCTTTACTTTTCTGAGCCTAGGTTACCTTGCTTAAGGTAACATTTTTTAGTTTTGAGGTCCTAAGGGGGAGATCATAAAAAGGATTGGCTTTTAGGCCTCCTGTGTGGCTCTATAGTATTGTAAAAGAGCACTGTCCTCGGGGTCTCCTGGCCACTCTGTCTGAGTTGATGGTCTTCCAGAGATGGAGAGCCATGCTCATAGTTTCGCACGATAGAATCCAGTTTTATAACTGGGCCAGTGTTACACCTTGGTAAGGCCCTCCTGGGCAAGGACAAAAATGGGAAGCTGACTGAGTGGGATGTAATGGTCCCTAGGAAAGCAATCGAGACTTCTACTGAGGTCAAAGAGCTGGGATGGGGCTCCGAGGTCTATGAGGACATCCATTTCCACTGCTGGGCCAGGGATCTTGAGCTTATGTCTCCTGAGTGGCAATGAGCGCTTGTTTAAGAAATATTTCTGCTCTGCTAATTTGGTCCAGCCTTATGGGCCAGAAGGCACCTTCCACTTTGTGGATTCTGGTGCTGACTTTCCATTCTCATGCTTAGAGGAGAAAACATAAATGCACAGAGGGGAAAAATGTTATTGCCTGCTTCTCAGGCAGCATTACTGAATTCCAGGCTGTGGCTGTGGCTTGAACCCTAGTTCTTGGAAGTGGGAATTCTAGGTTTCTACATTGTATGATCTTTTCTCGTTTTACTATTGGGAAACATTGTCATTCACATTGCAAAGCCTATAGGAACTATGTGTGAATACTGATGATGAGGGAGAATGTGAAACTTAGGAATTTAATTGCTATTTTTCATGAGATAAATAGGACAGGGTTATTGGTTGTCAAAAACATGAGAGAGTGAAGAGGTTTAGATTATTCAGTCAAAATGAACATTTTGTTAACTCGATCAACTTTATTTCATTGCCGGAGGGAACAGAATATTCTCCTAGATAAAGAGGGTTCAAGTCTGTAGGTGGCCTTTGAAAATTCCCTACAGAAAAAGCCATAATTTAAAAAAAAAAAACAACAGTCTGTAAGAGAAGGGAACAGGAGCTTTCTTGAGTTAATATGTGGGCTAATTATATAGCATTTTCAGTGATGAATATTTAAATATGTTAATTGAATGTATCATAAGCACTGCATTATATTTGCACATATGTGTTTATTTGTTTTATTTTTGCCTATGCACTACACTGAATTTCTCAGAACAGGAACCAGCTCTCTCTAGAACCTTGTATCCTTTAGAAATATCATGTTACTTTGAGTATAGACATGTCTAACTTGTCTGAATCAAGAACAGAAAGAAATAGGGAAGAAAGCACATTGCTGTCACATTATGTCGATGGGTTGGACATTAAAATAAAACAAAATGAACAGGTCAGTTAGTCCTTAACCCCATTGGTCCAAATTTTCTCCTCCTTATGACGTTACAGCTTGACAAAACAAACAAGCAAACAAAAAAACAACAACAAAAAACCCCCAAACAAACAAAAACCAAAACCAACTTAGTGAAGGGTTTATTTGGGCTCACCATCTGAGGGCACCTCACCATCTGAGGGCACCGTCCATCATGATGAGCAAGGCACCAGGCAGGAGCTGGAGGAGGTTGGCCACATTTCATCCAGCAAGATGAAGCAGCAAGAGATGAATGCTGATACTCAGCTCCCTTTCTCTCAGTCTAGGTCTCCAGACCATGGAATGGTGCTGCTCACAATCAGGCTGGGCCTTTCTACATCAACTAACATAATCTAGAAACTCCTGTTCAGTCGACAGTCACTCCTAACCATCACAAAAAGTGAACTGAGCACCCGGGAATCGATAAATATGTAATAAATAGTTGTTTGTTTCTGTCCTTTAAATGTCTCAGTTTTTCTGTCTAGGGAGCAGAGTCTTTCTTAAATCAAAGATTCTATGAGCATCTGTTGGAGGTAATGCTGTGTTTGGGAGCCATGTTGGTGTCTCTAGAAAAAGAATTGTAGTTGTTTTATAAGCACAGTTATGCCTATGGGTGTTTCATGCAATAAGAAACCAATTCAAAGGACCTCAGAGGTACAAAAGACATTAAAACCTAAGGATGAAGAGGAAATAGTTATATATTAAAATTCACACGGTTGCAGAGAGTATGTGAGTCTGGCTGGGAAGGCTCCTGTTCAGAGCCGGTCCCACCTGGCTTTGGCCGGTGAAGGGTGGGTAGGAATGGAAGATGGAAAAATGTTCCAGGGTGGGGCAGGGTGGGGCAGGGTTAGCAGCGAGGAAGAGGAACAAAGACTCCTTCCTACCAATGAAGAACAACACTCTTATCCCAGATTCCCCCAGGGAGTTCGAGACACCGGGGATTTTTCAGTGTGGAAGAGCCAAGATTTTTCATCAGGTTAATTAGGAAGTCTTGTGAAAGATATAGTTCAAAGGTAGTGGTTGCTGTTTCAGCGTGGGGCACGGGACAGGGTTCCTGATGCTGATGGTGATGAGATCTCTTCTGAGAGCACATCTCTTGGAGCCTGATGTCCCCATGCTGGGAGCTCCTTGGCCTTAGTGAGAGCTTGTCAGCTCAGACCAGTGGTTCTTAACCTGTGGGTCAAGACCCCCTTGGAGGTTGACCGACCCTTTCACAGGGGTCCCGTGTCAGTTTTCCTACATATCGGATGGTTACATTATGATTCATAACAGCAGTGAAACTACAGCTATGAGACAGCAACAAGACAATGTGATTGAGGGTTGCCACAACAGGAGGAACATGAGGGGCCGAGGCATTGCTACAAGAACCACTGGCTTAAACGTTGTCTGCAGTGCTGTGGAGGTGAAAAGTCACAGCTGGTCCAAAGCTTTGAGGAACAGGTCGGCATTGTATTGCTGCCTGGCTGACATTCAGAAATTGGAGCCGGCTGTTTGTTCTTGTATTTTTCTTCGGGGAGGCAGTGGTGAGGACCATTGCATTTTATGATCTTCCATGCTAATCTCCACTCAGCTCTAGTTTTTGGCTGCTTCTACTGAAGCGGACGTTTGTGTCTGACAGGCTGTTCTCCCTCTTGCTTCAGGTGTGACGAAGACAGAGTCTCTTTACATGAAGACGAGGACGCTTGCTCCGGGCTCAGGTAGGTCTTATCCTTGGTCTTGATTAGTGAGCAAAAGAGATCATCTGCATCTCGAGACTCTTTGAATTCAAACATCTTCTCTCCGACCAAGCTCATCTTCTTGGGAGAGTGTAGTGTGTCAGCTCTCAGATCCCCAGAACAGAGCCTTGTACTGGGCACTTCTCAGTTAAAATCGAGAACACGCCCATCATTATTTACCAAACATGTTATTGAATGTATTGGACTTCATGACTGAGGGATCGGGATTCCTACCTGAAGGAGTAAAAGATGCTGTTGATTCCTTTTTCTGGAAAGAACGCAGTAGCTGCCTAGAACTCCACTATGCCCCGGTACAGGCGGTACACCTCACTAGAATGGGTTAACTTCCTAACCCTGGCTTGACTCTAATGTCTAAAGCCACTGGTGACATAGAAAAAAAGTTTAATTGTTATCATTCAGATCACCGCCACTGTTTTTATTTGTTTTCCCAGTTACTAACCCATTTATTGGGTGTTCCACCTGAGCTTAATTGTTTTGGATACATTTATTTATGCCCCTCCATCTGTTCTCTGCACCTGGCCCAACAGTCTTGGTGTTGCCCTCCCTTCCCCCAGCACAGGGAGTTCAGTCTTCACCTGTAGGAAGGTGTATGTTGAGTGAAAAGTTGGGGACCCTTCCTTCCCTGGACTTCCTTCCCTGGTTTCATGTGTCTGAGCCTGCGTGGGCGGGCGGGGTGAAATCACTTCTTTCTTGGCTGCCTGTGGTGAAAACAGCTGGGAAAGTGGCTGCCCTCAGTGACCTGCCAGCGAGTTATGGGATATGGATAGTCTAAGGCCAAGAACCCAATTTATACCCTCATTTAGTTATGGCTGCAGTTGCTTATTTCCTAGCAATATGGAAAGGAAAATGCAGAGATTTAAGAAAGTCAAGTGGTTTCAAAGGAGAACATCGCCCTTTGGGGGCATTATATGGAACTTGATGGTTGAGTGAAAAGTACCATCTCTGTCAGAACTGAGAAGATGTGTGCATGTGAGATGGGGAATTGAACCTAGGACCTTGAATAAGCAAGACAATTACTCTGCCACTAAGCTATATCCCTAGCCCTACTCTTCCTTTCCCTTTTTGTTTTGAGATATGGTTAGGTTTCCCAAGCTGGCCTTGAATTTTTGATCTTCCTGCCTCAGCTTCTAAAGTGAGAAGCTGGGGTGGCAAGCCTGTGTCCTCAGTGACTCAGCCCTGAGGGAACCCACAGATTGGGATCTCGTTCTACGTTGTGTCCAGGCATTGCTCTAATGCCTGGTTAGGGAAAATTTATCACTTGATTTTAAAATTGTCTGGATGACTTGCCCCTTCTCCAAACAGATCTGCAGTTGTAAACCATCTTTGCCAATGGATAGGGAAGCATAAACATCTTGAACCAAAGATTCAGCCTAAGAGGCTGAGACTGTTCGATCATTCTGGGAGTGTTTGAGTTGGCCTGTCTGCTCGGTGTGCTGTTTAACCACAGCACTTTAGAATCTAAATCTGCAAATTTGGGATCTCAGTACCTAACCTGAAGGTCTTGCATTGTGATTGCGGGAGGGAAATAAGATATGCATGAAAGCAAAGCGTTTTCAAGTGAAGACTGGAGAGGGAGAGTGATGGGAAGAACGAAATTCGTGGGACCTGTCCCCAGTTTGCCCGAAGCCCTAAATTCAATCCCGGGCATTGTGAGAAACCAGCATTGTTATACATGTTTGTAATCCTCGCACTTGGTGGGTGAAGGAGGGACGATAGGATTCGAAGTTCAGGGTCACCTTTGAGTACCAGTGAGTTCATGGTCAGTCTGGGATATGTGAGATCCTGACTAAAAAATTAAAAAGAAAAAACAAGAATGACATTCACATTTCTTGGGGTTTTTAGGCTTATAAAATTGCCTGCGCCTAGGTTCCCTTCGAAAACAGAGTGATAAATCTCGTCAGCTCTTTTCAGTACAGGTTTATTCTGTTTTGGGTGCCTTCTAAATTGGGTCGTTCTTCTTGCAGAGATGAAAACAATAAAGAGAACTACCCACAGGCGGGGGCTCGAATAGATGAGCTTGTTCCGCCCTCCCATGAGGCCCAGCGGCATGTAGAACAGACCCTGCTGGTGGATGGAGTGCTGAGACCCACTATGGGCAACTTCAAGTCCCGAAAGCCCAAGTCTATCCTCAGAACCGAGAGCGGCCGTAACCATGGAGAAAGCCAGGTACAGCCCCACTATCAGGCCTCAGTCATGGAAAGGCTTCCCTGGGTCGGGGGCACAACCGCGTAGTGGGCTCACACACACACACACACACACACACACACACACACACACACGCACACACGCACACACGCACACACGCACACACGCACACACACGCACACACATGCACGCGTGCGCGCTTGTGCTTCTTCTGAGCTCGGCTAGCTTCCTGCCTCAGCCCCCTGAGTGCTGGATGACAGCTTTGTATGACCACATCACACTAGGTTGATATTTTATAAGTTTAATTTTTTTTCCTGCTTGTCTAGAAATGCAGCAAAGGAAATGATCTTTTAATTGAGAAGTCCCTGGCAATTTATATTCTTAGGAGATGTTGAATACACATGACCTATCATAATCGCACTTGGCAGTCACATTTCCAACAACTCCAAGATTACATTTGTAATATACCCAAACATAACCTTTGGAATATGGTGGTTCCATGAGTGTTAGTTAGGTTTGATTGTTTAACGCTTAGTCACCTGAAAAACAAAGTAGGGGGCTCAAGGTGTGATAGGTTAATTACGTGCCACTATTACTGAAGTCTGATCTAATTTGCAAACTGACACCAGGTGATCCTCCTGTTAGAACAGCCACGGTGGTGTAGCCTATTTGATTGACTTTATGTGCCTTTGCTGTTTTATGGTTTTGGCATCGTGACCTCCTGGGTAGGCCTTTCATTTTCCAGTGAGGTGTAAATTATCGTGAAGATAATTATCGTAAGCTCCGACTTTCATTGTGGAGAGGGGCAGCCATTCCCAATACCCCTCCTTTCTGGCAAGCTTGAGACTCTAAATCCACTGCAGCATTTCTCTTTCAAGGAGGGTTGTGCTGGGGATGCAGATTCCAAACCGACTGGTCCTTGCGGGTGGGGATCTGATCTAACATCCTTTCCCAGGGGGACCACCTGGGACGCTTCAGAATGGCCAGCCAGCCCTCCTCAAAAAATGCCACCTTTCTTGGAGTTCTCTAGTGTGGCCTCAAAGAAATTACACTGTCATCACTTGTAATAAGGTGGCAATGGGGCATGTAATTTCCAGCCTGTTGCTGAATCTCAGAAAGGTTACAGGAGCAAGATGAGCTGGCGGAGTTCCGGCTCATAATGCTGCATTGCAGACCTGGTCGGAAGGAGGAGCTCCCAGTAGAAGCTAAGTGGCCTGTTCTGACTCCGTGAGTTTCATTCTCAGAGGCAGCGTCATAGGTAATGTTGGTTGTAAAACAGATTTTCCTAATTCAATGTCCTCCTTGAAGGGAAGACTGTATATTATTGGATGTATACAAGTTGGGGTGAAAATGGGGCATGAACTTATGAATGTGGGTGGTGTGGGCACAGGTGGGGGGTAGAGGGAATGGGGAATTATTTTTAAGTGTTTTAGGTTCACACAAACACCTTGCACTCAGTTGTTAGGGGTTAAAAACAGGCGAAAACGACAGGGGAAGTCTGTTTTCAGAAAACAGAATCAAATTGCTAAACCAGAGGTCCTGAACCTGTGGGTTGTGACCCCTTTGGAGTCCAGGGACCCTTTCAGAGGGGTCGCCTAAGACTATCAGAAAACACAGATATCTACATTATGATTCAAAACAGCAGCAAAATTACAGTTATGAAGTAGTGATAAAAATAATTTTATGGTTGGGGGGGGTCACCATAACATGAGGAACTGTATTAAAGGGTCACAGTATTAGGAAGGTTGGGAACCACTGTGCTAAAAGAATAACTATGATGAAATCTTCCTGATTGGACCATTGGACCTTTAATTCTTGTTCCTCCTAGTCTTGGGTTGGCTGTCATGAAGCCCTGACCTTTTCATTAAAGTTAAAAAAAAAAAAAAACCCATCTTGCTCTAGTCTGCTAGTGTCAGAGGGCTAGGTCTGTTCCTTTCTTTGAAGTATCAAGGGCTTAAAGTATCTTGTTCTTCACCATGGGTGTGCTTGGGGTTGTTCTTGGTCAAAGACACAAACCGGCCCTAACACTAAGGACAGTCGCAAGCCAACTCTGGAAGACCTGGACAACTGTCTACAGGTGACAGAAACTGAGGGAGCTGTGATGAGTGGATGCCCAGTGATTCTGAAATCTGAAAGGTCTGAGCACCCATCACACCAGCAGTGCAAACAAGATAATAAAATGAATTTCCTCTGAATTAGAAAGAGTGCCTTGATGGAGAGTAATCAAGGCTGATCTCAAAGGGGGTAGGCAGTATAGATTCTGAGTTTTATAAAAATGGAGGATTATAGTTCTTTCACAGGAAAAAAAAATACCTAGAAGACATACACTAATAATACCAGTAAAGCAACACACTGAGTGGGGGGCGAGGTCTATATTTTTATTAAGCTCCGTAGGCCATCTGCCTTGCTTTTAGCCAGGATATAATTAGGAAAGAATCCATTATGCAACCAGCCTTTTGTCTGTGTTGTTATATCTGAGAATGAAGTTTGTTTAATCAGATAGAACAGGCCACTTAGTCCCACTGGGAATGTGACCTCTGATGTAATGGGAGCTACAATATACCTCCCCGTCTGAAAACCAGTGCCTTGGGTGACTTAGAGTCAAATGAAAAAGGCTACAGACAACTTTGCACAATATGCATGATCATCACCCATCACACTTAGCGTTGGCTATTTTCAGGTCAATCCCCATCATGACTTGCATAAATGTAGACCGAGCCATCCCATAAGGGTTTGGGTTACAAGGTAAACGTGACATTCACATGGTTGAACTCAAAGTGTGGTGGAGAGTTCTGTGTGTAAGACTATGGAGGCTTTGGACAGCGGCTGCATTTGAGCCTCCTTTGCAGCCGTGAATTCCGCCGGATGCTTCTTGCCTCATTTAAGCCACTGAGTTCTAACTGCTTTGTTACAGGGTTTTCGCCTCCCTCCCAAACCCTGTGAAAACCCACAGGATCAGCTTCTTAAGTTGAAAAGCCTTGCTGTGAAAGCTGGAGAGCACCCATGTAGGCCTGTGGCTGCGGCCAGTTCTCACTTTTCTCTTCACAAAGTTGGGATGGATGGCCCTAAAGTTGCCCTTTGGTTTGATCCTAATCAAAGGGTTGGGTCTTCAGGGAAAAGAGGCCCCAGAAGTTGTGGACAGTGTGGCCTAATCCCCAACTTTTCTTGCCATTCTCTTAATAAACACCATATTCAGAATGAGCAGGTCCCATCTGATGGGTCAGAGTCATTGACCTTTCTTCCTTCTTGATCTTGGCCACATCTGTGAGAAGGACATGAAGTAAGAGACTCTGGAGGTAGTCTTTGCATATGAAGGCTCCAGGTCTGCATCCCATTTAAATGATTTAAGAGAGAGGGATTTAGGCATATTTACTGACAGAAGACCAGGAACCATGGAGAATATGGAAGCTTGACCTGTAAGGAGCTGAAGTGTTTGAGATGCAGATATTTAATTGAGTCACAGTTTTCTTTTGTGCTTGCTTATCCCCTTCTCCTTTAGACAATAAACTATGTGTGAAATGCATGTCTTCCTCACTGAGTGGTCCCCTGAAAGCCAGGTTTTAGGGTAACTGTTAGTAAAATTCCTTGATACGGTTGAAGTCAAACTAAGATTCATCCCTCCCTGCTCATCCTAAACCCTGGTCCCACTGGAACCCAGGAACAGCTTGTTACTGTTTAGAATGCCTAATTAGGTAACAAACACTCTTCCCAAGGAACAGAACTGACTCAAGGCATGGATTATCCATCCCAGTGTTTCCTGAAATAGTGCCATTGTTTTGAGTGTTGTAGAGGTCAGAACATCTACCCTCCCAAAAATGTGGGAAGGTGAGGTTTGGATGGTAGAAGCAACTTACTGTGTTGGTACTCCAAGCTGTCCAGAGGGCATTCATTTTTAGTGTCGGTAGATGGAGTCTTCTTCACTCTACCATCTGGCACCAGGCTGCACCCCATCTGTATGTCCTCCCCTCTGGTGGCTATTTTAGCAGAATACAAAAAGTAGGAGGCTGTCAGGAGAGCTTTTCTGCAGTGAGCTATGGACTGCCAGCCTCTTGCTAACCCACTTCTTTGGGGGAGACCAGCTGTTTGGTCTGGCATATATATGCATCTCCATTTGGCTGCAGCAGGCATGTTAAGAGGTTGGCACATGATCCAGACCTGCTTGTGAAATTTTCATTTTCATCCTTCTACAGAAAAAAAAAAAAAAAAAAAACCTTTAAATACTTGGAGACAAAATAACCTATTAAACATTTACTGTATGTTTCTTTTTAGAAGCTATAGTTCTTCTCGTGGTTGACTCTAAATTAAAAGATAGTTTTCGTTTTGTGCCACTGTCTCGTGCCATCACACATAACTAAAGTGATCTTTCCAGTTATGGGTCTACTCTGTGTGCAGTTTTATTTTTCCTCCTGAGCATGTTGAGAACATGGACACACTGGTTCCCTCACTTGCCTGGGTAATTATCTTCCCTCGTGGCTTCTGTTATATGATTTCTTGCATATGATTTCACAGCACAGTGTAGCTGTTTTGCATCAGTTCTTGCCAGGGTATGGATTTTCTGTAAGATCTTACTGGTCAGAAAGAGAAGTGGACCTGATTTATTTTTTCTAGTTTTCTTTCTCTGTGAGAAGAGGAAAGCAGAGTGGCTCTGAGGACTCGGAGATTCTTGGAAGTGAGGACAGCAGGGTGGGTGTTTGAATTTACTGGTATCCTCCTATGGCCTGGGCCTGGTGGGTACTTGGATGGGAGGCCATTCGTAAGTTTATCTTTTACTTAACAGCCTCTCAGGTGATGAATGAAGCTGATATGTTTAGATAATTTTATTTAAAGATATAGATACTTAAAGGCATTTTTAGATGTAGGGTGCCTGTAAAGTAAAAAGTGATAAATACATTATTATAAAGACAAATGCATTTTTCTGAGTGACATGAAGGAATCTTAAAAGATCGCTTCATAGGTTACGCATTAAATCTGAGAAGTGTAAAAAAAAAAGGATATGCAAATGGAGTTTTGTTAAAAATGAC